TATTTTTTGGTCCTGTGACTCTGTTTCTCTAGTTCTTTACTCAACACCAAATTAGAAAAGACCTGAATTTTAGTTTTAAAAGAATTAAATAAAAAGCAGCCCCCAAAGAATCTAAAAATAAATGAGAGACAGCAGTCTTTCTTAACCACCAGAGGAACAAAATGTGCCAGCATGAACTGTAAAGTCACTCACTTAGGGACTGAAACCAAAAACCTCAGGAAAGAGGATGTTCTTCATTTGGAAGCTGTAGAACATAAGAGTGGCCCAGAGCACTGTTTGACAATACAGTGACTGTGTGCCAATAAGACACAGGCTATGTGAGTTTAGGATGTACCATACAGTGCATTTTCATTAGAGACAGGGAAATACCTCTGATCCAAGAACATGCAAAACCTTACTTGGAAAATAATACTCATAGTTTTATGGTGTCTGAACCAGAAAGAGACATTTTCACATGCTGAAAGATGGGGGGAGGAGGCTTCTAGAAGAAGTAAAATGAAGAATGTTTTCTCCTGACACAGTGTGCATTGTTTAACCTTCCAAGATGGAACAGGATTACTTCATCTAAATACAATTGAGATGTTAAAGCTTGGAAAGGAGAAGAATTTTCTCTATTGGAGAATTATGTGATCAAGTTGGTGTATAGTGATCATGAGTTAATCTAGGCTATTGATTAAGAAGAAAATTTGCAAACATTAGGAGGATGAGGTTGTGGAACAGCCTTCCAGGGAAGGCCTTGGCAGCAATATCCTGCTTATTTTCAACATCAACCTTTAGAAAATTGATGGAAAGTGCTGTATAACAGGACAAGAGTGTTCCAGGAGGCAAAAGTTCGAACTTCAGAGACACAAGACTGTTGCTGTTGATAAATCTGAGAGACATCTAAAAAGAAGCTTATCAACATTCTGCAGGCTGCATCATGTTTACATATTTAACTAAATTCTTCAGGATTTGCATTGGTCTCCTCCTTTTTGTTTTACCCCTTTTTGCATTTTTTGTCTCTCTTAAACTCTATTCCCATACTGTCCTGAGGCACTGATGACAGATGATATACAAAGCAGCATATTGGGCCAGATGTGCTCCAAGGGACATCACACAATCCCAGTAAAGTCAGGTGGGTGCAGCTGGTTTGAGCAGTCATACCATCATGCAGCTTACTTGAGAGAAGGTAATTCTCACTGAGGCAGACAAACAGATTGGTGTCACCATCTGTTATGTGTCAGGTATGACCAACTTTGTAGGACCTCAGAAATTTTTGTCAAAAAATTTTCTATTTCAAGGCCTAGCACACTGCTGATACCCTTGACATACCTTACTCTTTTGCCTTGGCAGATTGGAATTTTCATGAGATTTGGTGCTAAAAGCATTAATGAGTTTTGGAATTTTCCATATGGTTTAGGGAAGTCCTGATGTTCCTGTGGCTTTTCTTGCCCTTAACACCTAATGTATAGCTTTCTGCAAGAGTGGAAGGCTTTGACTCAGTAACTTATGCTGTCTCTTACAAATCTATATGCTTCTCTCTTTTTAAATAGCGAAAGGGCAACAACATACATGGTATAGGATACACTGAAGATATTAAACAGATAGAAGGTCACTGGAATTCATACTGAAACATAGTCCTATGGGTTCTTCTGCCTCGTTCATGCTAGAAGTTGAAGTAACTAAAATGAGACATCTAATCCTCCCCATGCCTTTTGAACAAGTTAGACCTAAAAGAAGGTGGACACCTTGCTAATAGTTCCTAGCTTCCAACAGATCCTTGTGTGGTTTGAAAAGTGGAGGCATGGAGTCCTTATTTTCTCAGCTGCTTCTTGGACTGTTGCATAAAGACAAGTTAGTTATACAATAGCCAGATAGGGATTACACAACTTAGTTCCATAAACCTAAATCAGAATCAGAGTTTCTATTCTGCACTGGACAGACAAAACAATGTGGAGGGACAAAATTCTCATCCTAATGAAGTTAATGGCAAAACTCTTGCTTAGTTCTGTGAGATCACAGTTTCATGCAAAATCTTGGCTCAAGCTTGTAGCTGGCTAAAAAGGCTGGGTATTTAAAGCACATCTCTGTTAAGTTTTTCCAAGTACTGATGAGAAATGAGTTTCCTTTTTTTTTTTTTTTTTTTTGCTTTCTTTAAAAAACAAAAAACAAAACAAAAAAAGTTTAAAATAAGAAAAAAATAGAAAAATATTTTAAGACTAAATACTAAGCAGTGTCTGCAAACTTGGCCTGTATGCCTGGAAAAGTCCTGAAGTACTCTCTCAGAGTTCAAGAAAATATACTAGTAAAATGTCCTTTCCCATATTTCTGTGTTGGCACTTTAAGCTACAAAGGCTGCTGATGAGTCACATTATTTGGGTGTCAGAGAGAAAGAAGGGAAAATCTGACTTGTGGTGGTTACGTGTCCGAACAACAAAAAACAGACATCAACAAAACAAATCAAAGCCCCAGACCTAAAATCAGCAAGTAAACAATGCCATGAAACAGTGCACTGTGATACGAAGACTACATGCAGCGGCGTCACTGGAGCTGTTTGTCACACAGATGAAACTAATTATTTGCCAGTTGGATTAGTTTGACCTGGAGTGGATGGCACTGTGGGAGAGGAAAAGGTCATTGCAATTTCTTCAAGTACCCATGCTCATCTGGTCTGACTTCTGAAAACTACTGCTGTTTCATTGAATGTTAGCACATATATCAGGGCTCCCTTCACCCTCGAGATTCCTATCTGATGAAAAATAAAAGGGAAAAAAGGAAGAGAGGAGGTAAAGGAAAGCTTGTGCAACTAGCACTGCACATCACACACATTCCCAGCCCAAGGGTTACTTCTCTCACTCTGTCCCTGAAGTGTGTTTTAACAACTGAGTTGATTCAGTGAAGAGTGTTTTAACAATCTGATGGTGAAGAAGTATTGGTGACCATCCTTATCTTGCAAAGGCAAACTATAGGTTGGTAGGATTCCAGTAAACCGATTCCAGTGCATTAATGCACACATACACCAAACCATTTCTAATGGAGCTTTTGGAATTGTATAAAATTTTCCCGTAAGCATTAGATGGATCACTCAAGGTTGGGAAAGAATTGCTTCTGTGTATATGATTAAGTGTAAACAGTTAGAACAGACTTGGTATAAACAATTAGGTATGTTTGGTCAGTGCAGTCCCAGTGTCATCACTGATGGTTTCATTTCTTAGGTCAGTCACTGATGAATTTTCTAGGCAATAATCTGAAAAGTCATCATTCAGCTTCTGACTAGCCCACATATGGCTGGCCCAAGGAGGGCTGTTCAGAACCTCAAAGGCTCAGCTGTGTCTTCCAGATTTTATCAGTGCAAAATAAAGTGGCAAAGTAGGCTGTGGGTCTGCCTCTCCTCCACACTAACTAAAAGTGAGGTGATGAGAAAATGATCCTTCTTGGTTTTCTTACTGTGACAAACAAATGACTGTACAAATCTATATTTTCATTCACCACCTCTGACATTTGTCTACCTCATCCTCCCTTCAGCCACATTTGTGTCTTTTTACTAACACCTCTTCCCAATTTTGTTTTCTTTCCTTAATGAACTGACTTACTTAGAACATCTCACATCCGTTATAACACCCTCATCACACACCCTCCTGTTTCTTCCTGGACAACAACAGCCTTCCCTTGGCCTCAGAAGACTGACAAAGTAATGAGGGAGAAAGAATAAAGAGTGTGACTCCGAAAATGAAGCAATAATGAAGCAGTACAGTGTTTCACTTGAATGAGATGCTTTGCAAGGCACTCAATGACTTCCAGGTTACTTAGAACTTCTCCACAACATGGCTCAGGCAGGATGAAATCCTGCCCTTGTTGTAAACTTCTGCTCCATTGGGTAGAAGCTTTGTTTGAGTGCTCATGTATAGGACTCAAGGATTAACAGAGGTATGAGCAGTTAAGAAGACACCACTCAGTACACTATCACATGCTTGTGCCAAACCTCAGCTGCCTCTAGGAAGCAGAGAGGATTACCCATCTTCTATCCTTTTCTGCATGTAGTTTTCCTGTGGCAAGAGCTACTTTCTCTCTCTCTCTCTCTTTTTTTTTCAGAATTCAAAACAAAGCAAAACATTTATCACTCAAAAAATGCTGCCTTTATCTGTCAAGGCTTTTGAAAACTGTTACTGCTAAGCTTGAGCATTCATTCTTAAGTGTAATGATGAAGATGGTAAGTGAATCCAGTCTTGCTCAAATACAGAACAGAGACATGTCCTCAGTCACAGCAAGTACAGTTGACTCTTCAAATGCAAATCAAGAAAGCCTAGCCTTTCTAGTGCTCACTGATGTCCTCGAAAAAACAAATAGGGCCAGTGATTACAATTCTGTATATTTTTCCAAGTCCTGAAATGAAATCATGCTTGTTTTAAGTACACCAAGTAGCTTGAGGTGCCAAGTTTCCAAAATAACAAAATATAAGAGAAATCTGGTTTGTATGTTTACTAATTACTATGTTTGCCTTTTGAAAGAAGAAACAAAGAACAGAGAAGACATTCCTCAGCTGTTAGGTAAAACAACACTCAACAAACACTTCTTGTGTCTACCTTCCTCTGCCCTGTCAAGCATCATCTGGACATCAAGGCAATCTCCTTTCAGGCATCCCACACACAATGGCACAGAGGTGGCATTGTCCTATTATGGACACCAGCACAATTAGAGTGGATAAGGAGGAGACCTTCATTTTATCTAAGAATAATTCACTGATAACTAGTGATGTGAGAAGCAGATATAGAGCATGTACTTAAAGATGCTTAGCAGCTTATCTTACAGGAGACAAGTCCAGCATTCACAAGCTAACAGCTTGGTCATAGATTGCCTTCTGTAAGCCATGAAAACCTGATAGCCTCTGTTCCATTCATGAAGTCACACATGTGGGAGCAAACAGCAAATGCTGCCAACTACACAACTTGCCATATAGTAATTATATCACTGCGGTAAGCTGACAGGACCTCAGTTGCTAGCACTCACAGCAGTTCACTTACCCTGTAGTAGTCTGTGCTGTACACATCTCTAGACATCCCAAAATCCCCAATCTTCACCAGTAGGTTCTCACCAACCAGGCAATTCCGAGTAGCAAGGTCCCGATGCACGAAGTGCTGTGATGCCAGGTATACCATACCAGCTGCAATCTGCTGGGCAATATGAAGCATCTGGGACTGCGTCAGCTCAGCTGGTCGGTTGCCTTCTGCCATCAGTACTGCATCTGGACCATGTGCCCTGCACCAAAATGCAAGCTGATTTAATGACAGGACACTTCTGAGATATAGAGGTGAAAGACATTAGTGATCCTAAAAACAGAGAACTGACTTACTCAAGTAAAAGAATAAAAACTGTTACAGATTCATTGGTAAAACAGCAAGAATTTCTCTCTTGGCTTTTTTCACTTACTGTTTTCCATCACTATGTGAAAGACAGGTGATTTGAAGAGAATTATACAACAGGTATATATATTATTCATAAGGCAGATTGGTTCACAGCAACAACGCCCTGTCTTAAACAGCAACCTCTCTCATGTTACATCCTTGTAACTTTAAGAAATAGTTATCAGCATTCCTGTACACACTATAAGCATCACTAACCAATTCCTAGCCAGTTAATGAGGCAAACATACCTCATTTAGTGCAATTTATAGTATTCTGAATAACACTTTCCATCCATTCTTCCCTTCTGGGTTTTCAGAAACCTTTTTAATTCTATTCCTGCAGACTACTCTTTCCAAGAGATCACCCCAGCTATTTTGGAAAAATATTCTACAACCGGTTTTAACTTTCTCTCAGAAGTCCTTCCTTCCTCCAGAGGAGAGTTTCAGAGAATCACCTTTCTAATCAATAAAGGTGAGACCTTAATTTATTCCTAAAGGAAGGGCATGGGGGTTTGGAAAAGAGTTGCAAATTAATCAAAATCTATGAGATAAAATCTGACATTACCTATTAGAAATTGCGTTATTAAAATTGCCCCAAGGGAAGAACTTCAAGAGCAGAGTGACAGATGTGAGAAAGAAATGAAAGAAGGTATGTAGCATGGCTGGCATTGCATCTGATACCAGGTAAAGAACTTAACTGCACTTTCTCTGCCACAGGGTGTACCTTGCCACTGAATTGGCTTGAGTAAGGGAAACAGGAAGACATGAAGGCTCCTACAAAAACCCAGAGAAAATTTTTATCAAAAAGTATTGTACCCATTTAATCGAGCTGATTTTTCCTAATGACTGCTCTCAGATATGAAGCTCCAAATCAGTAAATGAGAGAGCTCAACATTGTTCGCTCACTTCCTTGGTCTGTATATAATGAAACTTTTGGGTTATTTTTAACGTTCCATCTATTTTTCTTTCATTTGTGATGTGGTCTGTAAATGAGGTGCTCCTCAGCGTCTGCAGCAGCCAATAACATTCCTTGGATCCACATTAGTGTCCACTGCCCAGAACAAGCACTGGGCAGGAATGACTTCGAGGCTGTGGACCTAGATCTGTAACAGCCTTTGGCTTCACACAGACAGCAAGGCTAATTTGGGTTACATTTCAGATTCATTTTTCCCATCAGCCTTTGGTGGCGCTGCAGGGTAAGAAATACAGGCTGTTACAGCCCGCGTACCGCTCACCTCTCATCTGCAGCACAAGCTGCATCAGATGTGAAAGGAATGACAAATTGCAGCTTAGGTTAAACAGCTTGTCCCAGCATAATCATTTTATGTTCTAAAGACCAGGGCTGATTAATAATTAAAAAAAAAAAAAAAAAAAAAAAAGAGTGAAGACCTAATGGAGGAAATATATTGACTGTTAAACTACCTTTCTGTACAACAATTCTAAGACAGTTAGGAGGTAAGAAAAGGTCAACAGAAAATATCAAAGAATAAGTATTTCTTCTAATGACAATGAATCAGCAGCAAATCTGGCTTCCTCTAATGGAAATTCAGTGCTCTGAAAAAGTACTGGGCTGGCATCTTTGGAAACTGCAGTCTTCTTATCCACGGCAGAGGTCCAAACAGACAAATGTAAATGCACCAACATTGCTCTCACAATACACTTCAATCCTTTGCCAAAGAGACAATCAGTCTGGGAAAAGTAGTATTTGCTCTGCATCCCCAGTTCAAGATCTGGTCTCTCTGCCAGGCCGAGCAGTCCTTCCAGTAAGGGAGGATGCTAGTTTATGTCATTTGCTTTTATACACTGTGGCTATTTGTTCATTGGATTGATTAGAAGGACAGCAAACTCACTTCACAAAGGCTAAAAAAAATGGTGACACAAGCAGTAACTAGCAATTTCAGTAAGACAAAAAACCTGAACCCATTTAAAGGGACATTAGTTTGATTGTTTTACTGCTTTGTCAATAGCGTGCATGAAAGGGACATCTTTCCAAAATGGTGGTGCCCCTACCGCAAGAGATCTCAGTAGAGCGAAACGTTTTTTGATACTCTGTGATGGAAATGACATAGAAGACCTTGAAAGAACAGTCCCTTATGCAAACATTTTTTTGTAGGAGCATAAGCTGCCTCTTAACTTCTTATTTTTATGTTAGTGAATACACACTGGTGGAAATGGCACATGCACAAGACCAGTGTTCACAGCTCGCTGATTCATGAGTTACTTATTATTCTGAACCTTAGGTATCATCTACATTTCTATGACTCCTTTACTGCCAAATTTTAATCTATGATGTACATTCTTCAACAGCTTAATGAAACAAAGCTGTACTCCAGAGCCCAAGATTTAGCATTTTACACTGCACTGAAGTTTTCATGGCTCACAGTTTTCTTGCCACAGACTAATGGCACTCTGTCATGGTTTTACATGGGAGGAGGGAAGAGAAAAGAGGATGTGTTTCTGAAGCTTTTAGATGCCTACAGTTAGTGATAGGTGTTAAGTGGGATCTTTCAAAGTGCTACCAGAAAACAGTTCCTACCACAAGCTTTATAATCAAATATTTTAGAATACGCTGAAATATACTGGAAACAATCTTGCTTGGTTTCTACCAAGTTCCGTTAGTAGAAAGTTTTAGGCTTAGAATTAAGCTGAGGCATTTCTGAATGTGCCAGGAAACAATGAGCTCCATATCACAGTACACATAATGATGTTACACAGATTTGCATTTTTTGGTGTCTGAATTTTTCACGAGAGTTAAATTGTTATTAAATATCAGTAGCTTCCTTCACTGCCTAATTCTGGCTCTCTAGCACAACATGTGATGAATTTACCTGAGGAATTTGTTCAGATCTCCATGCTTCATGTACTCAAAGACCATGATGAGTGGATCACCCTCAACACAGACACCATAGAACTTGACGATGTGCTCATGTTGCAGGTTAGTCAGCAGCTCTGCCTCACGGTGGAAGTCCTTACGGGCATTGTCACTGGCATCCTTCAAAGTCTAGTGGAGAAAATGAGAATGTAAAGAAGGAGACATGCTCACAGAAAGCAGTGAACATGTGGGACGGCACTGTAAGGGTAAGATAAGGACACTGCTGTGTAAAGGATGGAGGAGTTATATTCTTAGTAACATTTTCAGAATGCAGATGTGACGTCTGCATGCATTTAAATAAAAGCAGTACAGTACAATTTTTGTTCCTCTGCCCCATGTCATCCCAAACAACACCATTTGTAAGAAGATGTAGACTCACAGTCTTGCTTTTCCAAATACAGGAAAAAAAGCCTTATAAAAAAAATACACCAGGACCCAGCTGATTCATATCCTTTAGCATTTAGTCAGGCAAAATCCCAGTATCTTGTTGGTGTTTGCCTCTGGTTTAAGTTCCTCCCAATAAAGCTTTGCTTGCATAAAATACTTAGTAGGAATGTAGATGCACTTCTTATGTATCAATGGCATTATTGCTGTTGATGTTGGTCCCTGTGTGTGCTATATATTAGGCTATATATTAGTCAGATTTGTAGAAGGGAGATCAGATCATATATCCAAAGACCTCTGAAATTAAGTGAATGTATTTGCATGACTAAGACAAACCAAATGTATAAGTAACTGAAGGATCAATCTCAAACTGATAGAGAGTAAGTAGGAGCAAAAAAGAATCCTGCAGTGTCCATTTTTATTTTTCCCCCTTTTATTTATAGAACTCCAAAATCCTGTATATTTTCATTTTGAATGACATATATCAATGCTGGTTCAAATAGTACCTTAAACTTTGTATAATGAAATAATGATAATTTATCTGCTGCACATAAGCAGTTTCAGATCTCTTCTAGCATGCAAACACTTTCATGCATGAAAATAAAAGGAAATTCTGGCACCAATTAAATTAGGAATAATCATAGTTGACAATAAATCACTACTGTGCTCTACCTACAGGGATTGTACTATATTATTTCAAACAATATTTTAAAAACAGTATGCGAACATAAGCAGGTTACCAATGTTCACAATCTATTATTCACAAAAACTGAAGGTTGGGCTTTGAACCTCTGTACTTTAACTACGTGCACACTTTAAACCAAGGAAGGTAAGACAAAACTAACATCATTATCTTAACTTATGATGGTTTTTGCTCGTTATCCAGCCACGTTGTTTTCTATTTTGATTTCATAAAGATAACATGAACCAAACCATGCTCGTCAGAACAGATATAGTTTAAGTTGATTCTGTGCAGTCATTATGCCAACAATCCCAGTTTCTTGCTATTTATATTCATTTTTTTTTTTTCCACAGTTTTTCTTTAGGAGATACAATTCACATCCATTCTTTCAGTATTAAACATATGCATGTATGCATATGAGGGACTAGGGAATAAAACATAACTGTCAGAAAACCCTTGCTTTACTTCTGAAATGGCAACGATAGGTCTCAAAATAGAACAACTAAGGTGACAAGGTGAAAGGGAAACGGACTGGACATTTGTCAGATTCAGGGGCCATTCCTGTGAATTTCAGGCTTTGGGGATCCCAGGGGCAAAAGAAGCCTGCTGTGCCACAAATGACACTTCCCTGAGGGACTCGTTTATCAGTTTAATCTGTCTTCAGGCATAGAACCCTTCTTCCACAAATTTTACTAATAATGATGCAAGGATTTGGATCACCATACCTTCACAACCTATGACATATTAGCATAAACAGATGTATCATCTAAGATGGATATCAAGTTTGCTCCTCAAATATAATCACCACAAAATCAATGCAGATCAAATGAGGAATGAAACTGAAATGTCTTACAATTGTTCCAGGTTCTAGGATGGTGTCTCAACATGAGGCAGGCACCAACTCATAGTCCAACTTATGCTATATGATGAAATCACTGAGAATAATTCTGTTGTCAACTGAGTCTCCTATGGTAGTTTCATGTATAATGCAATATAATTGTGTGTTGGACTAGATTTCTTCCCAGCAAGAGAAATAAAAAGCAATTCATATTAAAAAACATTTTTAAATAATAGCTATGTAGGGAAAAAAAATTATATAGAGAAGCACAGGCTCATACTGTTTCCAGCATACTCTTTCCATGGAAAGACAGTAAAAATGCTGACAGCTCTGCCCTGTGAGGATGGCATATTGTATATTTCAGAAGACTCTTTTTATCTCAAAGAAACAGCAAAATTATCATATGACAGAGCAGTTGCCATGGCAATTACACATTTTCTGTCAAACAGAAAAATACAGAAAGGTCTAAAGCCCTGGTAAAACTCACACAGGGTTTCTACTACCAAGGGGCAACCTGACGTTCTGTTACCTTCCACTGCAAGGTCCTCTCATTTCCTTTTAATTATCTCATGCAGCACACAGAATAGACACAATGCATGAGAGACAGATGACAAAGGCTAGGAGGAGACTGGAAAGTGAAACAATTAATAAGCAAGGAACATTTACATGGAAATTACACTGTGGAATGTGTTGAGCTTGTTCACAGTGTAAGGGAAAAAAATCAAACCAAAATAAAACCCTAAGAGTACAAGGCAGAAACAAAGACATATTCATTAGTACCATTACTGACAAGTAAGCCAAAGCTCTGCGTGCAAAGCACTCTTAGCAGTCAGTGGGAGTTCATCCTGAGCAGGGAAAGAGATACAATCACAAGTACTTTTCCAATCATCAGGCTGCTGGACCAGCAGCTAAGGAAGAGTGGCATGCTCTCTTGGGCAAAAGAAGCCTTCCCTGGATAGTGCAGGGAAGTGTCCTTGCCCAGACATCCATGTAGAAAATGTTTCCTGCAGACCTGTTGCGTGCAGCAAGCACAAACTACCAGCTCCTCAATCCACCCCAACACCACAGAGCTGCATCCATGCCAAGGTCAGGGGAGAAGTGTAGACATCTAGCTCACACCAACACCACTCCTAGGGTATCAAAAGGCACCTGAAAAATGTGCCCTGCAGGTCATCCTTACCCGATCAGCTTAAACAAGGGCAAAACTATGGCTGGTTAACCAACCCTAGGAGTAGACAGTACTCAGAGCTTGAACAGTGACTGTGGCATAGCAAAATTGGCCAACAGTGAAATGATAACTTTTCTGGATAGACTGGATCAATGGACCAAGGTAGACTGTATGAGTTTCAATACGGCCAAGTGTTGAGTCTTGCATTTTGGTCACAACAACCCCAGGCAATCCTACAGGCTTGGGGACGATTGGCTGGAAAGCTGCCTGACAGAAAGGGACCTTGGTGTAGTGGTGGACTGTATAGGAGCCAGTAGTGTGCCCAAGGTGGTCAAGAAGGCCAATGGCTTATATCAGGAATGGTGTGGTGAGCAGGACTAGGGAAGTCATCCTGCCCCTGTACTCAGCTCTGGTGAGGCCCCACCATGAATATTGTGTTCAGTTCTGGGCACCTCAATACAGAAAGGACATTGAGGTGCTAGAACAAGTCCACAGAAGGGCAGCAAGGCTGTTGAAGGGCTTGGAGAATGTGCCCTATGAGGAGCGACTGAAGGAAGTGGAGTTGTTGAGTTTGGGGAAGAGGAGGCTCAGGGAGACCTTATTGCTCTCTTCAAATACCTGAAAGGTTCTTTCAGCGAGAGCGGGGTTGGTCGCTCCTCACTGGTGACAGGTGACAAGACAAGGGGAAATGGCCTCAAGTTGCAGCAGGGGAGGTTTAGGTTGGATATCAGGAAAAATTCTTTACAGAAAGGGTTGTTAAGCAGTGGAATAGGCTCCCCAGAGAGGTGGTTGAATCACCATCCCTAAATGTGTTTAAAAACCGTTTAGATGTGGAGCTCAGGGACATGATTTCACAGCAGGTAGTTAGAGTTAGGGTAATATAGTCAGGCTGCAGTTGGACTTGATGATCTTTAAGGTCTTTTCCAACCTGAGCAACTCTGTTATTCTATGATTCCATGATTCTATGATTCTTTTTGCCATCCTCTGTTCTCTAAAAATGTCTGCAGTAAATGGTATGCTGGTTTGATTTGAAAGCACACCTGGGGAGTGAGGCTAATCCTATGCCCAGCTTGTCCTGTGATGAAGCTCTGTGTTCACAGATTTTCTTCACAAGTAAGCACTTAACAGAATCATAGAATCATAGAATCTTTTGAGCTGGAAGGGACCTTAAAGCCCATCTAGTCCAACTCCCTTGCAATGAATAAGGACACCTACAGCTAGATCAGGTTGGCTAGAGCCCTGTCCAGCCTGTGCATGAATGTCTTCAAGGATGGAGCATTCACTACATATCTGGGCAGCCTGTTCCAGTGCCTCACCACCCTCACCGTAAAAAATTTCTTCCTTATTTCCAATCTAAATCTCCTCTCATTCAGATGGAAACCATTTCCCCTTGTCCTGTCACAGCAGACCCTGCTAAGGAGTCTTTTCTTTTTTATACACCCCTGTTAGATACTGAAAGGCCCCTATCAGGTCTCCCCAGAGCCTTCTCTTCTCCAGGCTGAACAGCCCCAGCTCTCCCAGCCTGTCCTCCTAGGGTGGGTGTTCCATTACAGAATGGCTAAGGTTGGAAAGGATATGAAAGCCCATTCAGTTCCAATACCCTGCCATGGGCAAGGTTGTCACACACTAGATCAGGCTGCCCAGGACTCCAATTAACCTGGTTTTAAACACCTGCAAGGATGGGGCATCCACAGGTTCTCGAGGCAGCCTGTGCCGCTTCCTCACCACCTTCTGAGTAAAAAATTTCCTCTTAATGTCTAACTTGAATCTCTCCCCTTTTAATTTACAATTATTCCCCAGGCTATCTTACTCCTTTTCCAAATAGCAGAAGCTCAAGTATTTGGGGTTACTTATGCTAAGCCTGATTCTGTATCTTCCCAGATATCTCTGGAACTCTTAACTCCTAAGCAATTTGCTTCAGTACCATCAACGTCTCAGATACCAGCCTGCTAATGAGGAAAAGGATGCAGATTGGCTCAGATGTGAAGATGTTCAGGCCAATGTTTTAGTGTACTTGCATATAGCCATACAGTTGCATGGCAGTCAGCAGTCAGCAGTCAGGAACAGCAGTGTTGGCAGGGACCAACCACACGTGGGTGAGGATGTGCTTTCTATCTGCCTGAGTCCCTTGGCTCTTCCTCCCTTATCACCAAACATATGCTCGCTCCTACAGGGTTCATGGAATCTACTTCATGGAGACAATTTTGCTGTAGTTTGCAGGGGGTTGAAGCTCTCTAAAGCCTTACTGTTTGCCAGGAGAAGCTACTCTTGGCTGCTAATATCCAGACCTGCTCCTCTGAGGTCAAAAATTACACATTTTCAATACCAAACCCTGTGCCAAATGGTGGAGCCTGGACATAGTTCTCTGCCTAGCTCTCTATGTGCGATAACATTCCATCTCTATCAACTCAGGAAGCAACAGAAGATCAAACTCTAAGTTATGTGGGGATCAACCCACTCAGAGAGCTTGCAAAAAAATTTCTTCTTAAGACAGTGACTAGAGTCTCATATTAAGAGCCAGTGCAAGAGATATTAAGTGAGCATAATCTGTCCACAAAGGTTATTCTCTGCATGGTTTTCTGTGCAATCCTTTTTGATGATAGAAAGAATGGACAAAAAAGAAAAAAGCAATAATAATGATAATAATAGTAATGCAGAAAACTGATAGATTTCTCATCTAAACCCATGGGGACACTTCCCCTTTAAAGGCTGAATACTCTTGCAAGTTATACTGAGAAAGTGCATCAGAGATGCAGAACAGCATTTAACAGTGGAAGTGCTAGGCTCCATTTGTTCACAACATTCAAAGTTAGCAAGCTAATAGAAAGACTATTATTTTGCTATCAAGAACTTCCCCAAAGTGATAAAGAGGAAATTTCCACTCTAGTTTCACTAAAAATACAATAGAAAATTCATTCAGTTCCGGATTTGTCTTCTTCTGTCTCATATTTTCTCCCCTCAGGACCCCAATTCTCACATGACTCACATTGCTCCTCAACATGACTGAACTATCACAAACCTTGTAAATTTGGCAAAGAAGAAAAATCTGCTGTTTTTGATGGAGCAAGAAAATGGTCTACAAATCCATCCTCTTTTCATATTTTCTCACTGCCAGATCCTGTGTCTTGTTTCCATTTACAAAAAGATGATGTTCTTGGTTCTTTTACTGTATGGTTTCATCCAGAATGTGCACATTGTTGCCTAATCATGGCTGTTCAGGAAAGATTGTTTTCTGATTCCAAAGCACAATTCAAATTCTAAATACGTATTCACCCTGCATTTAATGAGATACCTCAAAATGTTGAACATCTCGTTCAGCTTTCAGCAGAACAACAGATGGAGATAGGAGATTGTTGCCAGGGAGACTGAAAACTCTGAGTGTAGTTTCACTGGTACTGTTTGTAAGTGTAGCTGAGGATGATGACTGACTCTTAGTCTTTCCACTCTGGGGGACTAAAAGGTTTCGGTACAGTAAAACCATCTAATGCCCAAACCCTGAGACTATATTGGAAATCTTCCTCCTTTGGACTAGATTTTGGAAGTACTGACTGAAGATATAAAATTAAGAGTTATTCCTCCAGGTCTGAAATATCATAATTTCTAGATTTCCATGCAGATAGTTTTTAACAGTACATGAAAATATTACCGACAATTCCTAGTAGTTACATTAATGGCAATTGCCCACATATAATTTCAGTGGCTGAATAAAAGAATCACATAATCATGAAAAAAAAGGCCACCTTTGACTGGCAGTTGTACACCTAACCTATCCACTCAGATGGCTACAGATTACTTTGTTAGACACACAAATGTAACTCATGTATTTTTAATAGTCCAGGCATTATTTTTCACTAATCATATTTTAAATAAATCATAAAAGATTTTGGCCTTTTGTGACACCATCTGTTTTTCCCTTTTTTCTTATGAAATTCAGCTTTTATTTTATAATCCACAGCAAGATCAAGTATCACATTCTCTTAACACTCCATTAGCCTTGTGAACCCTCACACATATATCAGAGTAGTTGTACTGGGCTACAGAAAAGGCAAATACGATCATTTACAAATAAAACATGCAACCATGAATTAATGATGGAAATCCTAGACTCTACCTTCACTGCTACCAAGATCTTGTCCTGTTCGGGACAGAGGTTGTAACATTCTGCCAGAAACACTTTTCCAAAGGCTCCTTCTCCCAGTTCTCTTTTAAGAACAATATTGTGGCGCTTGATGTGCTGAACAACTGCAAAGAGAAGACAAAACAGAAGACAAAATGAGCTGCAAGGCTAAGGGCACATGCTTATGGATAGATAAAGGTCTGCCTGTAGAACGTACCGCATGCAGTGGAAAGAATCATTGTATCAATGCGTGATTTATTAACACCTTGCCAAAAAGGCTGATTTAAATATATTTATATTTGGAGAGTAGTGCATTTCCTGGGTAAGAAGATGTTGAGAATCAGCTGGGAAAAGCTTACATATCACTGTGTTTTGAAGATTGCCGTAGATCACACTGAACAGCCAATGCTGTTGTGATATTTTCTTGTTTTTTAAAAAAACATGACGGAATCAGGAAACATAAGAAACCTTTCTCATATCTCTTCTAGTTCTGTACCTCTAACAATAGCTGAACTGTCTCATCGAGAGTCAAAAAAGTTTGGAAGAAAAAGTTTGAAAATTAACCTAACCCATGGAAACAAAATGTGCCCCAAACTATATTCAACTTACTCTCTGTGCACACCTTTTCATCTGCTTTATCTCTGTGTGCTATAACATAATTACTTTAAGATATACATTCCATCCTCGCAAACATGAACTACAGCATTGCTCTGAACTAAGCGAAATAGAAGATGGACAAAGGTTTTAGCCAGTGTCAAAGACAGAGCCTTAGTGGAATGCTGCCCAGAAGCAATTGAGTTGGACATTAAAGTCCTTGAGCACTTTTGTTCATCCCATTTCACAATCTTCTTCCTATGCAGGCTTCCATTAGAAGACTTAATACTTAAAAGACTACCAAGTTTTGTACAACGCACTATCAATTCACAGTATTTCACCTAAATAAAGCATCTGCAAGGTCAGTTTAATTTGTCTACTAAACAGAGTGGACAGCTTTTGTTTGCTGAAATCGTACAAAACAGCCAGAATCTACTAACACATTTAATCTAAGCACACTTAGCTGCTTTTGCAAAAAATGAAATTCAACCCTGCTTGGACAGAGCCTATTTGAAACCTAAATCCTAAATGCAGTGGAGTAAATAGCACTGCACAGGCATCAGGCCACCCTCTGCCAATGTACAAATCTCCCATTAAGTGCTTAACTGCAGAGACAAGGGCTGACCTTTGTCAACAATGTGGGATATATTCATATGTAGCCAACCTCCTGACCCTCTGCTTGGCCATGTGCCTTTTCCAAACCAAGCTAACATTAACTCAGAAACTACTCTGCCCCATTACTAGAGAACGGAAAATGGAATGTTGCTAATACCATCAGCGAGAAGAAAGGTCACATCCCGTTCCCACCAACGTTGACAGCATTTGAAGAGTACGCCCACAGTCCCATAGAGAGAAACTCCTACATCCTGCACCGTGAGCTGTGGAGGCCCAAGGCCTTGTAAAATGCACATGAAGGGAGCCTGGTGCCAGAGGAGCAAACACTGTTTGACTCTTTCTCGGTACTCCTATTCTTGTCTGGAGAGCACAAGGTGCTTGGGCAGCCACACCAGCTCATGGCTGCTGTGAGAGGGCCCTGATGCCATCAGATTAAATCCATTCAGATGGACGTGATGGCAGCTGGGAGCCTGTGCAAGACCATGCAGCCAAGATATTCAGTTCCATACTACCACTATCATCACCTCAGAACGTCCACAAAGCCCATCAGCATGACTGCAGAGCAGAGCTGAAATTCTGCTCTACTGACATCAGCAGCAAAGCCCTGTGTCTGCAGAGAGGAGGGGTCTTACATTTCATTCTCTTTGCAGCTACCAGAAACTTGGTAATGACCACATCTGACTTTCTAGATATTGCTAGGTTCTCTCCACTTTGAACAACAAACACCACTACTGCCCTAGCAGTAAGAAGACTTTTGTCAAGTTCCTGGAAGACTCCACAAACAATAATGTAAAAATAAATAAGAAACATATCAAGTATCTCCCTATAGTATACTTGCAGCTGCTAAATGCTCTGACATAAACCAAGCATTTGAATAAACAACCTGTCCCATACCACACTGTCAAAAGCAAAACAGTGCAAGCCACAGAAGAGCTTTTCTCAGAGTATATTCACAATTCTATCTTGCTCTATCGTTCAACGCACAACGTTGTCATGCTCTATCAATCCCCGTTACCTTTCTGAGCTGAACCAAGTTACTGAACAAATGAAGAATGACAGTAAATGTGACTAAATGGGCACAGATTAAATCCAAGAACAATGTAAGTACATCAAACGTATACGATGTGATACAAATATAAACTAAGGGAAAAATCCTCAGAGCCAATTATGACACTTTATTCAGTAAGAGGAGATTCCAGGAGATACACTGAAAAATGCAAGTCAAATTCTTCTTTCAGTTAATATCAAGATAAAGCCAATCATTTCCACTGAAGACCAAGGATTATCCTGGATTTATATTGAAGAAACTTCATAGAATTTGGCTAAAGAGGTGGCACAATTGAATTACCAAAGATGTGGTCTCAGAACATTTTCTCAGAGGCAAAGATACACAAATACTCAAAGGATGGTTATGTATTTTCTTCTTTTTCCCTCTAAATGGTGATTGCACTTGAGCTGCCATTTGTGCTTTTAAAACCATGTCATTCCTCATCAAAAGATCTTGTTTGATTACTGTAAAAAATATGTTACATTAAGCTAAGAGCTAAGTCAAGTTGAAACACTTAAGAGAAAAATGAAACCTAAAACATAAAGTGAGATTATGCAAACTAAACAAGGGTAAATGCTGAAAAGAGGCTACAGAGTTAAGTAATGTCTATAATGCCTTGCCCACAGAAGCAGCAGGCTTTCCTGGATGACTGTGGAGAATGGGCTGGCAAGAAAGAAAACTGCAGAATAGAGTTTTCTTCTCAAAGTCCCAGAGGCCTTCAACAGGGAGAATTGGACTTACAGCATCTCAGACACTAACAAACTGCATGTCACGTTGTAAATGATGCATTGAGGCCTTATCCTGCAAACACTATCTGCAGGCACGAGATTTCAGTCCCCAGGCAGCCAACCTCAGATGATGAGGCTGAACAGAGAGGATCACAGCACATTCTGGAGAGGATCCAAGCAATATGGGCAGCTCAGAATCGCTTCACCATGTTGAATTCACTGAGCTAGATGTGGCTGATTTCAGCCACAGACAGGAGGACACAACATAGCAAAATGCTATGACAGAGTAAAAATGTTTTTCCCTTGGTTACAAAGCATAGGTCTGAACACTTTGCAATTACACGTGACCATTACACCACCTAAGCTGACCTTCTGCACAGCATGGAACATACCACTGATTTAAATGACTTGTTCTTGGCAGGAAAATACCTTCTGAAAGGAGATGTGCCAGTCTTTATGAGGATGCCTGAGCTATTCACTTGCCCAAATGTGTAATATTTTTAATTGCTAATAAAAATGCAGACCTTCTTTTTTTTCTCTTAATTTTTTAGCTTGTCTGGCTTGTATTTACCTCCTGAAGATACCCTCAGGAGACTTTACAAAATATCAGTACTATTCTTGTTCTTGGTAAGGCGAAGAAATGGAAGCCCCTCTCAGATAAGTATTTTTTCTAGGTTGCCAGTCATTTTTATGGCTCTTCTGTGGAATAATTTTCAATATCCTTTAAAAATATAGATATTTCCAGTTGTTGTTGTTGGTTTTTTTCTTTTTATCTGTACTGGAATTCACATTTTTGTATCACTTTCTGAGTATGATACAAGCTTAAAATCATCACCTTTTATACATCAAAAATCACACTAGTCCTTTTAAGTCTGTGTTTCCTAAAAAGTGTAAAAATAGCAAAGCTTTGTAACATAAATGAATGAACGTGAGCACAGTGTGAACACCTTGCTCAGCTGTAGTATCACAAGTGCCAGTTTCAGATATAGTTTCACATACCTTATGAAAACAACTGAGCAGAAGAGAGATCTTTATAGTTATGGAGGGGCTACATCGGGAATTCACTGCATGATGGACAGTAAGAGCCATAGAAATCAGGCTCCATCCTCACTGCTCAATTAACTACCAACACTAGAAGATTCCATAGTGTTGCATGCCCACCTAAGTCACTTGCTAGGAGTCTTTTCCAGGATACTGTTAAAAATTTCATTAGCGGTACATATGTGGAACGTACTGATAATGTCTGTTGTACAAGGTGTCTAGAGAAGAGAAAAAGGATCTTCAAGATGTCAGATAACTAGACAAGGTAATATTATAGACATATTTACAATTGCATGAGAAAAAGGCAGCAGAAGAACAGATTTGTGATGTGACATGAGTTGTCATAGAAAGACATTTTACAAAGTTTCTTCATTATCTACTCCCATCATTTTTCTTGCAAGCAGTAGAACTCAGGTCTTTCTAAGATATTGCTAGAAAAAAAAAAAATAGGTGTAAATGGCTGAGTAATTGCTCAGACTGTATACCGAATTTGTACAGCATTTGTCATTCACATAAAAGGCAGGGTGGAATTTCAGAGAGAATCATATAGCAGGAAGAAACAAAATCACTACAGACAGCAGACAGCAAGTCTAGCCCAATGACCTTCGGATTCTGCAGCAACTGCAGCACTACAGCCCTGTGTGCTATTGGCAGAGTAGGAATTTTGGCACACCGAGATATCTACTCTCATGATAATAAACATGATAATAAAATGGCAGTAATAACCACCAACTTTAAAATAAAATAAAATAAAATAAAATAAAATAAAATAAAATAAAATAAAATAAAATAAAATAGCAACTTGCCTGTCACAACTGCGTGTATGTAGAAATAAGCCCAGTACTGAGAATATATTTCTGATTATTTGATGTGCTTAACCCATACAACATTTATTACTTACCATTCTATTTACATTTTTGTAATGGTGCTGCTGTTTAATTATTTTTGTGTTGTGCTGCTGTTTAATTATTACCATATGGCAGCAACAAATCCTCATGCAAGATCAATATCCAGTTCTCGAAAGTGCAAACAAGCAAGCAGTCAGTTTACATGTATATTGTATACACTTGAGACACAAATAATCTCTTTAATGAGATTA